TAGAAATCAAATGATAACAACCCATTGTGGTGTGTTTGTGTTTGTGAATTGTGATGAGTTGTCTTTGATTTATATAAAAAATATATCTGATTACAGCAATGCACTTGTATATAGTTTGATACGATTGATGTGCTATTTTGTAGTTTTTCACTCAATAAATTTGGATATAATTACTTCATGGACATTTATTTTCATAAATATATTCATATTGTAAAATAGTTATAATCGACGTTATTTTCATAAATACGTGTATGTACCAAGAAAAAAAAAACTGTCGGGAAATAATGGAGCTGGTTTGCGTATGTATGAGGTAAATGCCAAATAGCTTCATATCATATTTTCATTTATGTTTTTTATAGTTTAAACTTTGGTGTATCTTAGAACATTTCAAATCTCACTTTATAATGGTGTTTAGAGTAAGAAGTGATCACATCCATTTTATCTTCTATTCTACAATGAATAAAAATTAATTGATTCACAAACAGAATAATATTTTATTTGTTATTTATTACTCTATTTTACTTTAAAATATAGTAAAGTTGGAGTGAATCAGATCCCATTATAAATTACTTTATTTTGGAGAAAAAAATTTAGTTTTATATCGATAGGAGAACAATAAATTTACAATGAAATATATTCCAAAATATGAAGATTGACTTTGACTTTGATACATTAATAGGACTAGGTGATTTTCCCGTGCTCATGCACGGGTATAAATATTTTTAAAGTAAATATATGATAACAATTGATTACTATTTACTTTTACTTTTAAATTAATTTATAATTTGTATGCATCATTTATATATTAATAATATTATATTACTTTAATTATAATATAATTTTTTATATGTTATATCTAGTCGATTTTATTGTTTTTACAGTTAATTTAGTTATCATTTGGATAAATTGGGTTGCATCTCTGAATTCAACTGTAATATTTTAAAAATATATTAATTTTTAATTAATTACTTATTTGCATATAGTGGGTGTTGTCTTAGATATGTAAATATATTTTAGGAAAATTATGTATAACTTAGAATATATTATGCTTAGAATGAATTAAGAATTAAATAAAGTGTCTGATTCCAAAATACGTAAATTAATATAACGATAATATTCTAAAATATCATTCATATATATATAAATTTTACAAGAGAACTAAAATTGTAAAAGTTGGTTAATATTTATTTTTATTTGTTAATATGTTTTTAGTTATCCTATGATCAATAGAAGGTTTCATGTATAAGTAGTTAAATACATTTTTGGAAGCTCATGAACACATTTCAACATTTACAATAATTAAAATATCTATAAATCCTAAATAAATTTATGTTTTAGATTTGTTGAATGTAAACTGAAATTTATTTTAAATAATCTTAAAATTGGGAATTCAGATTTGTTTTGGTATTTTTATTATGGTTATATTTAGTTTCAATAACATAAAAACATAAAATTTAAAAGAAAAAATTAATATTAAGAAAACAAATAATTTATTGTTACTTATTTGATCAAGCGATATTTATTGTTAAATTTATGTTTAGTTTTTAATATTTTTTAAAAATAAGCACTACACAAAATTGTGATTGTATTTGAAAATAATATTATATAAGTAAAATATAACTTATAGATAATTTTCGGTAATTAGAAGATATTATAGTTAACTAAATATATGAAAAAATAAATTAAAAAATTTCAATAATACTAATTATAAACTATTTTTACTACTCTACAAGTATATTTTATGTTATTTAAAAATATTTTAAATGTATTGTTACTATTTTGTGAACTTTCCTCTTTTTATGAAATCATATTATATATATATATATATATATATTTTTCCTTTTTAATATATTTTATGTTATTTAAAAATATTTTAAATGCATTATTACTATTTTGTGAACTTTCTTTTTTATGAAATCATATTATATATACATATATTTTTCGTTTTTAATTTGTTTTTATGACTTTATAAAAAATTTCCTTTTTATTACATATATTTTCAGAAATTTTTGAAAAGGAAACTAAATAAAAGAATTAATAATACTATTTTTAACATTTTTAATTCATTAAGGGTATCAGTGTAATCAACCATCGTGAGAATGAACGTGAGAACGACACATAGGAAACTGACTTCTCAAATAATATTATAGAGATATATTTGATCATAGTTGCGTTCATAGTTGATTCATTATAAGAGCTTTTACTCAAATATATTTGACTTTGAGTCTTTGACCATAAACGAGTCGCTTAGATATGTGGAAGCTTTCTATTATTATATACGGACACACAGATGTAATTGGTTTCTCAAAGTTTATTACGGAACAGAAAATTTGACTTTAGCCCTATTCGTTTGATTGCTACAGGTTTTCGCGGTTGCGTCTGCGGTTGAGTCTGCGGTTACGACTGCATCTGTTTATTTGTTTGTTGTTCGTTTTGCAGACGCAGCCGCAGACATAGATGTGCTCGTGGATGTGGAGACCATAAACGTAATCCACAACTACTATTAACCAGATATTGGTCTGAAAGCTTTATAGTAACACATGTAATAATCTGAATCTTCTTAGACAAATAGGAGGATAAATATAAAAGTTCCAAGGGATTGATTCTATTGCATAAATTAAAACATAATGACTAAAATCTTAATCAAAATACGACTTGGCATATGGTTGATGCTTGGGAAGCAAGTCAATAACTTCATGATCATCTCCAAAAAGACGCATCAGACGAGATTGTTGTTGCAATCTTTAAGCGACCATTTCTCTCCTAGGATGTAAACCGCAAGATCCATCTCCTTTGGTCTTCTTTCAAAGTATCTTGACCAGTTAAAAGTTTGTAAATTAGACAGAACACTTTCACGAACAGTACGAGCAGTAGTTAGTATTTCCTCCAAAATCTGAGCATGATCCTGCAATTGAATAGAAGAACTAAGTTAAAAACTCATATCTTGTGTGCACACTAAAGGTATAATATATAACTGTTTATGGAAGAAACTTGGTACAATTTCAATGATGTCTAGCACTCGTAAGTTAGGAGAATCCTCGAGTAACCGAGCAAGTAGATTCAATGAATCTCCTGCGCATACACACAGCTTCAAATGCTCAAGCTGGTTCATGACAAAACCACCAGTGTAACACATCTGCAAAGATGAACAAAGTATTAACAACAAATGATTCTATAAAACAGACTGAAAATTTGCAATTAATTAGCAAAATAGGCTAGGAACACACATACTCTCTCTCTCTGTTCCTAAAAGATAGATTTTCTAGTGTTTTCACACATATGGACCGTTGACCAAAAAAAAAAGGAAGCTTACCTCTGAACATATTGTAAGGCGCTTGATAGATGTGATTAATCTCATAAGGTGATTTATAGATGTGATTGGTGACATAAGACCAAGAGTCGACATTTTACAATATCGAACATATACATATGCCTCCTCTAAATCAGGCATAGTCCCAATCGAAAACACGGGACGACTCCATTGATGACGATCAATGAGTTTCAAATACTTCAAAGAAGGAGAATCTATCACTAACCCTGCACGTAACACACCTTCATTTTCACTAGGCAAATATAATGTTAGACTCTTTAAAGATGGGACAGTAACAGTGATCAACCCCTTATCGGCATTGTCCAAACCACAATACACCAACAGTTTTTCAAGAACAGGGCAAATAGATAGAAGCCGTCGAAGAGATTCTCCAACTAAGAATTCATCAAGCATAAGTTGCAAGGTTTTGAGAGAGAGAAGAGAGCCACGACTAGGAACATCCAGACGAATCCTACCACGGAGTTTCAAGGTGACGAGTGATTTGCAGGTGTACAAGCTACTAGGCAATATACTTGGAATCTTGGAATTAAGATAAGTAACCTTGAGCTTGCGAAGGTAGCGAGAAAGTGCAAGTACAAGCCAAAGTTTGATATCTTGAGGATTAAAAAATGAATCATCTATGTTGAGATGGAAGCTTTTGATAAACGGAGCTCTATGTAACGGCATGCTAAAATCAAGGAAACATGGTAAGCTTTTAGGTTCTATGTAACGAAAGTCGAACTTGAGTTTTGGCAACCACATCCAAAGACACTCCCATCGTTTGGACAAGATGCTAGTGGAGACAGCGACTTTTGTCGGAAGAAAAGAGAGAATCTTAACAAGTAAATCATCCGACAAGGGACTGATTCTGTCTACATCTTCTTCGCAAACCCGAGATCTTGTTTCCGACTGTGTCTTCCTTTTTCTAACCCTAGACAAGAAAAAAAACAAATGCGTTCTAGTAAGTAAGACTCAAATGGGTTTTGTCTGAACGCCAGAAAAAAAAAACGGAGTTTAGTAAGCAACGTCACAAAAAAAACCTTAGAAAAAACTTACATGATGAAGATGCTCGTTTTCTCTTTTGTGAAACTTGAACAGAAGAAGAAGGGAGAGTGGGAGTGTTAAAGAATCCAAATTCTAGATCTTTACGTCGATACATCTTCCCACTCACCAAACCGGTTGGGTTTCATTTCGGCCCATATTTGGTGGCCTAGTTATGGGCCTGTCGAGATGTATGAAAAAGAGCAAAAAACAGAGAGCTCATGTTGCATAAGTTTGCTCTTTTTCGGGTGCTTGGTTTAAGGTTGAGTCAAATGACTTTCCTGAGCCTCAACCATATGCCAATTTGTGTTTGATTAAGTCCAAATATAGTTCTTGCAGCCAATTATGCAGGGAGTTTTTTTGATTACTAGTTATTGGATTCTTTTTAAATTTCCAGATACAATCCCATAATTAAACAGAATTATTTAAATATATATTCGCATATGCCCTATCAAACTGATTAATATATTGCATCCACTTACCTATACTGATTTATATATTTTTCTAATTACAAGCAAGCTGTGTAAAACTGAGAATCATACATTGATACATACGTATACTAATTTAATTTAATGTATAAACCACACATCTTACATAATCGCTGGATATTCTACAGACATGAATAATTGATTAACTGAATCGGATAATATTAATGCTCTCTCCTCTTGATCTTCACCTTTAGCCCACCAGCCATGTGAGCAGTAAGGAGGGGAACAAACACCGGCCGGTTCTTACTAACCGGTATAATCTCAAACCGACTCAAAACCGAACCAACCACGTATTTCATCTGCGTAAACGCCATTTCTTTCCCAATACAAACCCTTGGTCCAGCTTGAAATACAGGAAACTTAAACGAGCTCACACTTTTTAAAACCGGTCCAGTACTTGGTTTTTCCTCAAACCATCGGTTCGGTTTAAACTCGTCCCAATCTTGACCCCACACTTTCTCCATCCTTCCCATACCGTAAGGGAAATAAGTAACTTTGTCCCCTTTTCTAACACGTGTCCCGTCTGGTAAAACGTCGTCGTTTGCTGCATGCTTTGAGTCCCACGCCACTGGTGGGTAAAGCCTCATTGCTTCGCAGAGACAAGCTTTCGTGTAACTCATCTCTCTCAAATCCTCAAACCCTAAGGCTTCCTTGTTCCTCACTTCTTCGAGTATCTTGTCCTCCACGTTAACGTTTTCACTCAACAACCAGAACAGCCACGTCATCGCAGCCGATGTTGTATCCCTTCCCGCCATAATGAAGCTGATCACCGAGTCTCTAACAGCTTCCTCTCCGTGTCCGGCGGCGAGAAACCTAGACAAGAGATCTTTCTTGTCACACACGTCACCGCCTAGAGCAAGACTCTTCTTCTTAGCACGTATGATCTCAGAGACGGACACGTGTACAGTCTTTATCGCTTCTCTAAGCCTCCTCTCGCTCCCTACGTTCAGCAAACGCTTCAGCTTCCACACGGCGTGGACAGGCTCCGTCGCGCGGCGAGCGCTTATGGCCGCAGCTACATCAAAAGCTTCAACTAGAGCTGGAACGGGTCGGGTTAAATCCAAACAATCTGGATCCCAACCCAAAGAAACTTTACAAACAATATCAAACGCAAAACGTTTTAATATCTCCTGAAGATCTACCGTCCTTCCTCCGTCGTAGTCTGCGGCGGAGGAAAGGACCGGGACGAGGCGGTTTTCCACTTCTTCACGGAGGATTTCGAAAGTAAACTCTTTAAGAGAACGCATTGTAAACTCGTGGCTAGCGAGTTTACGCTGCGAGCTCCATAACTCGCCGTCCGAGTTGAATATTCCACCGCCGAGTAGGTCTCCGAGGAGGTCGGTGAAGGGTTTTCCTTTAGGGAAGTTAGAGAAGTTTGTTTTGAGAATGTGCTCAACGTTTTCGGGGTTGGCCGTGACAATAGTGCGGCGGTTGAAGAGGAGGTCGACGGTGATGGTTTGAGATGGGGAGAGACGGAGGAGATCGGTGTACCATTGGAGGAGACGGTGGCGGTTTTTGTTGAAGGAGAGGATAGAGCCAATGAGTGGATACGAGGTAGGATTGGAGGAGGGTTTGGTTTGTGTTTTTTCTTGGGGTTTTGTTGAAAGTGAGAAGATTAGGATGAACCCTAATGTTAGAAATAGGAAGAAAAAAGCAGTGAGAGTTTCCATTTTTGGAGTTCTTTGTTTCTTCTTTTGGTAGTTTTGATTTTATGTTTCTTTGGTGTGTGTTCCTGTTATTTATAGGAACTATACGTACAGTACATAGGATGAGACGATGATAAATACAGCAGAACACAAGTTGTGGCTCCGACCATATGAGTCCAGCCAACAACCTAATTAAAAATGAGTATTTCATTTATTTATCTTATTATTCTTTTTTTGTTCAGTTGTATCACTAAAAGACTAAATATATAATAAATAAATAACGTATTTCAAAAAAATAAAAAATTGACATATATAAGAATCCGCTAGGTTATGTTTTTGTTTCGTGTATTTTTATTTTGACATATGAAACAAATGTCACTTCCAAAAGTTTATATCTGCTTGAATAGGCTGAAACGAATAAACTTTAATAAGTATCGAACTGATTAATAAAATATTGAAACATATATTAATATATGTCGACGCAACAATACAATCTCATTGACCTAAAATGAGATAAATAAGATATAGATGTGGACAAGGACAGGCCAGTACTTCCCGCACTGCCTGGTTGCCAAATCTCCAGCCGAAATTTAATAAGAAAATGTAGACACGGCTCAGAGTCAGACTTTGAAAAAGCAGAACAAAAAGATTGTTCTTCTTATTTTAAAAAGTATAAAACAAAGATTTTATTTTATTTTATACTTTGATGATAAAATATGTTATAATGAATTTAGTTGTCATTTTTGTCAAACGATTTCAGTGGTCTCTCCAGTCTCAAATTAATGTATATCTCTAATATGAAGTCAAAATAAAATTTTACTTAGGTGGTAAAGTGTAGGCATGTATTTAGAGAAATGAATAAAATCAATTGGCCAAACTGGATTAGTACTATAGATATTCTTTAAGAATCTTGATACCCTAATTTGATACAAACCTACTAGTATTATAATCATTATTTATTAATTAAGTCCAGCACAATGATGACATAAATGAATGATCTGTCTGTTTTGTCAAATAATGAACTTTGATTCTTTAGGGGATCCTGGAGATTTGTTAAAATCAAGGGAATATTAAGTATATAATTATGTTATGTGCAATAAGCATTTGCTTAGTACATTGTGCAATTGGTCTGTAGTTACAGTACATATATACCATCAGAGACCAAAGTAATATAGTTTATTTTTATGATAAGAGATTCTCTTTTCTAAGCGAAATTCAGATTCAGAATTAACGAATAAAAACTTCGGGCTTTCCATTTTTTAGAGCATCATGATTAGCTAATGACATATACTTATTTGCTTAGACATTTGACAAAGGTATTGGTTTGAACGACTGTTCATGAATTGGCCACTATAAACATGTTGGATATGAAGACGCTGATGAAATTACTCAGCCGAAATTTAAAACAAATAATTGCAAGATACTACTATTCAACTGGATGCAGAAAAACAATAAATATAAACTTTTTGTGACTGTTACAAAAAAAAAAAAAAAACTTTTTGTGACTACTAGTTATCTATCTCATTATCATTATTTTATGTGCACGTGGTTCTCGTGGTTTGAAAATTGTGCTCATCTCATCAAGAAAAAGTCGGAGCTAGTTCCACTGACTTTTTTTCAAGCTGGTGTTTCTGAAGTTCAACAGTATTTTGGAGATCTTTCATATACATATTTTCTTAATATTTGAAGAAAACATCTACCACAAAGGTGGCGCTAATTAACTAGTAATATGGTTTACATTTTTTATTTCATTCATAAACCTAGTTCTTATTTGTCAGCAATTTAATAACCTTAGTGAAATAGCTAAACTGATATATTATAAAAGAAACTGGAACATTTTATTGACTATGTATATATATCTTACATTTTCATGTCTTTTGCACAATATTATTTACGTATTGGCATGAGAATCTAGAGTTTTGCTAACTTAGGGGTTTATTTCATATTATTTGTATCATTGTATAATTGAAAAAAAACCTTCAACTACTTGATAATTAATTCATATGCAAAATAATGAAGATTGATGTGAGCCACTCACGTTGTGGCTAGAAGAGGGCGCCGTTTAGAGGGTTAGTCCAATTAATAACAATGTCATAACCATTACGACAAGTCTCCAAGATCACTCTCTTCTTGATTTGATTTGACACACAATGATTTGTCTTTATGAGTGACATAAAAATCACCACTTTTTAAAATGACCTAAAGTGTTTTCTCTTCATTCTCCGATCGCACAAGTTCATTGTGTCATTTTCACCGTCCAAGAGGTTCATGATTTTGAATCACACGAATTTTTGTTTATACTTGACCAAACATTTTTTTTGTAATTGACGCTAGAAATAGAACATATTCTAATAAATATGAATAAACCATAAAGAGTAATGAAAATAGACTAAATCTCAAATCAAAATGAACAAATAGATCATGCCTTACTAATAAATTAGTTTAGCAACTAAATGTTTAAATCTTAAACCTCAAGCAATAAATACTAAAAGCAGTTTCATTACACATTTGGTTTATATCACTACGGTCTGGTTTGGTTTAGTTCGGTTTGCAGGTCAAACGATGAAAGTAGTGGATATGAGTTCACATGCTACAAAGGTCACTAATTCTTTGATGAAAAGATCCCATAACCAAAAACAGATTCATAACTTATCACCTTAATTCTTGATAACCAGTACCACAAAAGAGACCAAAAGGATCTATATCGATCAAGAACAACCATACTTGTCATCACTTTTTTGACAATTCGAAACCCTCTAAAGATACATATATATATATTAACCTGAGCATTTTCTCAATCTTCAGTTGGCACTCTTCAGACGTGCAATGAGCTCATCCTGCAAGAGACAAGTCAAGATTATTTAATCAATCACGAACACACAAGAAAAGATAAAACCAACCAAGGGACATCAGGTCATGGAAGACAATAAGATTGTGGTTCTTAAAAAGAGAGTTGGAACGGAGATTTAAATCAAAGCAATGGGCATATGTATTGACTTGCCTTTCTTCCTTTTGTTGGAAGGCCTTTCTCCTTGAGAAGGGCACGGAGCTTCTCCACAGTTAAAGACTGAAAGTCTTTTTCTCCTCCACGACTGCTTGATCCTTCTGTGCAGAAAAAAATAAACATTGTTATAAAGTCAAGAGACCTTAATGCTTGAAAAATGGAACCACAGAGGGAGAAACTTACCTTGTCTAGATATAGTAGCAGGTCTTTTAGCTGAGCTCCTGTCATCCAGAGCCTTATTTGCAGCCCTGTGATTAACAAACCACTATTGTAGCCAATAGGATAGAACTAAAACAGAGTAGAACTAGTGGAGAGAGGTGGTTTACCTCTTTTTAGGACCATCTTCAGGAGTTCCTTTAGAACTAGATTCTCCTTTTTGCTTCTTTAGCAAGAGGGATCTGATTAGTATGTTTTGCTGGTTTGTCTTAATAAGCTGTCCTTCTGTATATATATGACCAAAAATCAAGTTAGCATTTTTAACAATCAAACTCATCAAACAAAACAAAACAAAAAAAACATAAACAGAGATTGCTTCAATAAACTATCTTCTTAAGATCAAACTCATCAAACAAAAACTAAAAAACTAAAACAAGAGGTTAGAAGATAAGATATATACCAGGGGGAGATGTGTCATGCTCACATACATAGACCCGCAAGCTTCCCTGTAATCTTATCAAAAATAAAGTTAGCAAAAATCTACTAACCTTGAAGAGAATAAAACACTTAGTGAAGCATATATGTATGATTCACTTAAACAAAGGAAATCAAAATAAAGAACCACAAAAGAAAAAAAAAAATTCTAAATACATAAAGACAACTTATCAAAATAAGACACCATGCCATACAATTCTACAGATTTGTAATAAAAATGACCTAAAATCGAGTGAGTAAGTTATCTAAATAAACTAAATTGAAGAAGCATATGAAGATACGTAGTAAAGAACAAAACACTCACTGACCAAACTACCAACAAAAAAACATTATAATTGCAAAATTCATGTTCTTACATAACCAACAAAGACAAATCTAAATCCACTAAGACAACTTTATCAGATAAGACTTTATGTCAAACAATTCTCTACAGATTCGTAATGAAATTATCTGAAATAGAGTGGGTAAGTGTTATCTAAAGGAACTAAAATTGAAGAAGCATATGAAAAGCACAATCACTTTCTACAGAAGAAAGGCGGAAACTTTGAGGGTTAATTTCGATATATTAACATTACCGGGTTTGAGGAGACGACGGTGGAAGAAGATAAGAAGCCACGAGATGGAAGGTTGGAAAGGAACTTGGTAGCAGTTTCATCTGAAGAATCTGATGACCGAGAAGATGACGCTTCCATTGCCAAACTCACTGATAAACCTCTAGTTAAGGCTACACGAAAGCGAGATTAGAGAGAGATGAGAGAAGAGATCGACAATGGTAATTGCAAAGCGGCACCAAAAAAGAGAGAAGAAGGAGAAGACACCAACCGATTGTTTCCCGATGAGGAGAATATGGGTCATGGGCCTTTATTTTGATTGAAATCACATGCAGTAGAGCCCAGAGTTCACTACCAAACCCAAACCATGTAAAAAAAAAAACGAACCAGACAGCACTACACCAATTAGGCCTGCGGATTTTGTCCGAACCGAACCAAACCGAAATTTTTGGTTTTTAGTTCAATTTCGGTTTTGAGTTTGATTTGGTTCAGTAGAGTTTCAAAAAACGATTCGGTTATCAGTTTAGTTCGGTTTATGATTTTTATTTTTATTTTTGTAAATATCTGAAAAAATCGAAAGTAACTGAAATTACCCGAAAATATCCGAAATTCTGAACCAAATGTAACTGAAATAATCGAAATTAAACAAAAAAAACTGTTTAAAAAAAAAGTATAGCAAAATTAACCGAAAACGAAAATAACCGATAACCGAACCAAAATTTAATTTGGCTAATTTTGAAAATGATTTTTAAAATTTCGGTTAACCAAAAACCGAACTCGTAGACCTAACACCAATACAATCTCTAAAACTTCACAACTTGGTTCCTTATAAAAGCCAAATAGAAACTCTATGTTCCTCACATGTGTTCAATTCACATTGTGATTATACATGGATGTTCGGGTCCTTAGATTTCGGTCTAATTGATTCGAATTTTTAGATTTTCAGTAATATATTCGTAAATCCTATTCAAATTTTACTAATTAGCGGGTCAAATTTGATACGGTTCCTTCCGAGTTAATTTCATACGGGTCATATTGGATTATACACCAAACTTCAAAGTAAGTAGTTAATAGGTCTCATTCAGATACTTTGTATAAAAGTTCCGATTCGATTTCAGTTTCTTCGGTTCGGGTTTAATTTAAGTAGGTACTTGGCTTCGGGTAAAAATGTCCGTTTGAGACTTTAATTTGACTTAAACGGCCTCGTACGGAAGATTTCACTGTGCTGCTGAAGAAACCGTGAATCCCGACGACAATGACGACGACGCAGGAGCTCGCGATGGAAGGGGAGAAGCATTTGGAACAGACTATCGAATCCGCTTTTAAGATCATTTCCTCTATGAATGATGAGCTTTGCAACCCTTCTCTGTGGTCTACACCAACAACCACCGCGGCTTCCAACGGTAATAGTCTCGTTTCCTCCGACGCGGCTGCCAATGACGGAGCACCGAATCATTCGGAATCTGGAGGAGGAAGTGGGAATAGTGCTTTGGATGAAGCTAGTCTTCGTTATAAGAACTCTGTTACTTCTCTTCGTGCTGTTCTTGCCGCGATTCCCAATTCACAGAAAGTAATTAATTACTTGCGGAGTACACTTGAATTTCTAGGGCTTCTTGTGACAGTAACAGTCACTAGCTTGATTTTATTTTGGTCTTATTCTTAGTTTTGAACTTTTGATATTGTTCATCTATTACAGGCCAAAGCATCTGGAACTGAAAACGGTTTAAAGACTCCTGATAGTGAAGAAGAGATTGAAAAGTTGGAGGAGCATGCCTTAAGTCTCAGAAAGGTATTGGCAAGTCACTACAGCACGACTCTTAAGAGTTCATTTTCTGTTAGAATGCAACTACATTGCTACAAGTTTTGGTATCGGTTTCTGTAGATTTTGACGTTAATTAGCATACCTCAAGGCTTAAATTTTTAACTGGACATTCTAAAATAGGATAAGAAAATGATTCACATTTTGTTAGTTTAGCTTTAACGGTTTTAGAACCATGAGAGATGTGTTTAATAGTGTTGTACGTTTCGTAAATGCAGGAGATTGCAGAGAAGAATGTTCATGTTAAAGAACTTATCGACAAGTTTCGAGAACTTATAGCAGATATCTCCACCTGGCAAAGCCCTTGTTCTGTTTGAGCCTTTTTTTAATGCTTTTGATAATGGTGTGTAATCAGTTTAGACAATGTTCTAAGCCTTTGTTTTTTGAAAAATCTGAATGATGGAATTTGTATATATAAAATATTTTCAGACAAAAACTTCAAAACCTGTCTGTTTGCTCTTGAATCACACACTTTTTTGTTTGTATCGATCTGTAAGAGAACTTGATTGTCTTTTTTGAGGATTCACTTTACTCTCCAGCTCTCCTGAGATAAGCCATAAAACCAAGACCAGCAACTAATGCTGCACCAGCCGCAACTCCACTGTAAGTAGCACCCCAACCGTCTTTCTCTACATACTCCATTGCCTCTGCTGATACTGTTGCTCTTCTTCTCCTTCCTTTGCCTTTTCTTGAATCATCTAAATATAATCTCAGACTCTGCAGTTTTATAATAGATAGAATCAAATCAGATAGCAAACATCTCTTAAGATTTTCATTTATATCTACTTTACCTTCCAGCCAATTGATTTTGCATGGTCTATGGCTGCTTGAAGATCACTATCTGAAGCCAACAACACTTTATCAAGGTCTTCGTCTTCATACTGCAGATTACAACCACCATTATAACATTTCAAGAAAAGATTTGCATCGTTCTTTTGTGAAAAAGGTTATATACGTACAAAAATATGGGGTATGTCTGAATCGATATCATCCCCTAGTCTCTGAAGTATCGCGGTTACCACTTCTGTCAAACTACCAGTGTCTGCATTTTAAGAACCAATTCATGAGAGTACACATATATTATTAAAACGGTTTTATGAACAAAGACAAAAGATTTTGCTTACCACTTATGAATCTGTGCATTCTGTGCTTCTTGTCTTCGAATTTGAAAGAAAATGTATTTGGCAAAGATAAGGATTTTCCTGTCTCAGCTTCAGAAGCAACTTTCAAAGAGTTTTCACTGAAAAATAATTGGTTCCCATATAGCCAACAAAGTCAGCAAAACTAAGCTCAATAAAAGAAAAATGTTTAGCAGTTTAAGCGAGTGAGGGTAATGACCTTCTCGTGTCCTCGTCTTCCTCATTAGGAGACAATGCCATTGCTGAATCCCAAAACTTTTGCATCATTGTGTTTGTCGCCTCGTTACCTATTCCAGCAGTAGTTCCAGCCTGATCACATCAAAAATAACTACACAAGATTAGTGATTTGTCATACAGAAGTTTCAAGATAAGATACAAGACTTACTGTGGCGACAGCAGCGTGAGTTACTTGGATTACATCGACAACTGCAACTACATCTCCCTCTGCAATCAGAAAACCCTTTTGTTATTTACATATGTTTTGCCTATTTAGTTTGCTCAGGATTTGTAATAAAAAAAATGTAACAGAACTTTTTACCTTTGTCAGTAACAGGAAGGTGTAGAAATTTCCCCTCGTGCATGATGTGCAGAGCTTCAACGATTGGTGTGTCAACTGTCGTAGATTCAGGATTCGGTGTCATAACCTATGGATTCACGAATAAGAACAAACGATTAAACTCGACTGGAAATAAGGTTGAAAAGTCCAGAAAAAATTGGAAACTTGAATAATACAAGAGCCTGAAGAGGAGATTAAACTCTAAATCCTACCTGTTCCATTGTAGTCTCAGATGGAGGAAGATTTTCAGCCACAACCCGCATCAGTATATCCTTGGAACTAGATAAACGAAAAACAAAACTCTTAGACGTTAGTATAACTAATCATTACAAGGAAGATAAATGAGTTCAGTCCCAATATAATCTAAGCTATGAAGTTAGTCAGAGTCAATAATCCAAAATGAATACATGATTAATCCGAAATCCAAATGAACCCACTGTTCTAGTTTTCTATATTGTTTCTTTGGAGGAAAACCGGAGAGTTTCAATAGCTAGCTTATATCATAGTATCTGAAGGGAAGCTGGTAGAACCAGTTGAGGTGAGAAAGAGAATAAAAATGTCAGGCAAATCTTTCAACGATTCAGAAAAGAGAACTCACGTAAATATCCCTCCAAGCTTGTCCTCGATCATCACGACTGCACAGCTTGATTTAAGTTCAACCATCTTCTTTGCTACAGTCAACACTGTATCCGCTGGTGAGACTTTCAAAACACTGAACCAAACACCAGTGATAAACTACTCACAACATAATTGATGGATAGGAAAAAAACACTCAAGATTGTTGTAACAAGAACTTAATTAAAAGAAGAGATTACCTACTTTGTATCATCTGGTATAATTGTTGATAAAGAAGGTCTAAACATCCGGTCTCGTAGCGTTTCAATGAAAGTATTGGGAACTACAGGAAAGAATCAACATACTAGAAATTCAAAAATCTAATAAAATATGAAGCAAAGAGTAAATGAGATTCGAGTATAAAAGGTTCAGTTTCTCGCCCACCTGAAGTGTTTGTTCCCCAACTTCTTTCAACACCTTCAACCGCAGCAGCTATTGCCTTACCTTTCTCAGCTGCCCTCTCCATGCGAGCAATCGCATCATAAAGACACTTTGCTATATCTAACAAAGCAATCACTTCGCCGTTTTCAACAACAGGCAGATGTCTGAATTTTCCTGTAAGTGTCAATTTAAGATACACTGCCTCATTAAAGATCAGAAAAATAAAACATGAGGTTCCTCTAACTATAAAAGCAAACAAACACAAACCTAGAACCATCTTCTGAAGAGCTTCAACAGCAAGTGATTCAGAAAGAACAAACATCGGGTTCTTAGTCATAACCGTGGACACAGGTGTTTCCTCAACATTAACTTCCTGAGAGATCACTCTTGTGGCTATATCCTGAAAAAAAAAACATAAAAGAAACTTTCATTAGAACATAAAAAATAGTTGGTTTTAAAAATGTAGTGATGCATTACCCTGTCAGTAAGAATACCACAAAGCATTTCGTTGGAGTCAGTCAACAACAATGCGTCAACCTTTCGTGAAGCCATGTTTTTACAAGCATCGTATATAGTAGTCGTTGCTGGAACTGTAATGGCTTTAGATAGCCTTAAACGTTTAACAGTTCGCTCTCCTCCCGTTAAACCCCTGCTCCAAAAATCCAAATAAATGATCAAAGTTAAAATCAAAATCACAATAGGAATTGTTTATTTGCTTCTAAAGTAACTAACACCCCCTCCACCCACGGCTAACAGGCTCACTCGGCCTGTGGCCCATCCCATCCGATGGATGGTGCATTAATTTTTCCAGGGCTCTAGAGTCTTGATTATTGCACCCTTAATTAGAGTTCTAAACGGATGTGTGACAACGGAAGAGGTAAGTCAACTTTGATGAGATAGTAGCCAAATCAATTCTCTTAAGTTTTTATTTATATCACAAGTCGGGATGTTACATGAACCAATATCAAATCCAAGAAACCAACATAACAAAGCTAATAACACACTAAAACATTTCTAGATTTTGTATTTAAGAGAGAGATTTAGAACTTACAAAGGAGAACTTACATCTTGTTTATGCACGCTTAACCCTAGAGTTCTAAATCGATATGTGACGGGAAAATGTAAGTTAGCTTTGATGACATAGTAGCTAAATCAATTCTATTAAGTCTTTCCATATATCACAACTCGGAATGTTACATCACAACTCGGGATGTTACACGAACCAATATGAAATCCAAGAAACCAACATTACAAAGCTAACAACACACTAAAACATTTCTAGAATTTTTATTTAAGAGATTTGAGAGGGATATTTAGAACTTACAAAGGAGAACGTGAAACAGTGAGAGATCTCCGAGTAGTGTCGCCAAAATCCATGGATTTCTTCTTCCCTCCTTGCAAAGACGATAAGCTCCGCCTTGATGACCCGCCTTGGCTCGCCATTTCTACTGTTTAGGATTAAAAAGAAAATCAAACGTAATTTGATTAGAACAAAAAACACTGAGAATCTCAGGAGAAATATACAATCTCGTGGAATCAAAGCTGTTACCAGGCGAATGACTATGTGTGAAGAAGCTAATGAAGTTGAGATAAGTTTCTCCGTGGGAGATGAGACTCTCTCTATCTTCGATTGTTCTGGGAGAAGGATGATGGCAAGAGAGAAACGACGGATTCCTCCTCACCGGGAAAGTGATGGGGGAAATGTTTTCTTTTGACTCCGATGCTTTTTTTTTTTTGCAAATTGGCAGATTATCGCTCGTTTTTTATTTTCGGGCAGTATATTGGTTTCTTTGTGGGTTTACGATTGTATCCTCGAGGTTTGCGAATGACTAGTGGATTAGAGATATGTTTCCAATTTTCCGGAGGGGTTTATTGTCATTGTCGTTTATGTCACTATTACACACGAGTTGATAGTTGATACTTTCTGGATTTTTTTTTTTTTTTTTGTAATTGGATTTTGTCATTACTCTTTAAGCAATATGAGATTACGTCAACCACAGAAATTTAGAGCTGTTCTTTTTATCATTAAAACAAGTAAATTATGTCTTTTTTTCTAAATCTACTATTTTCTCCTATTTATTTTAGTTATCGTTTTAAATTTATATATACCAATTTAAAAAATATTTAATTTTATATTTTTAAAATTATCGATATATCTAACAAGATTTTAACCAATAAAAAAATTGACATATAAATTTAATAAATTTGACATTAAACCTATAAAACAATATTTATTCTAAAACAAAAAAAAAATATTTTACAAATAATAAAGAAGTTGAAATGGATATAATATATTTTATCAAGGTAAACTTTTAGAAGGAGAAAAAATGTATTGAAATACAAGATGTGCTACATTTTAAATCATGTATTAATGGATCATGGATTTCTTCCATCAATGGTTTTAAATCTGTGTGCTTTAACAGAAAATTTAATTAATTTTTTTGAAAAAAGAAAAGAAAGTGCTTCATCATTATGATCAAAGCCATTAACCAAAATGATTAAAGGTCTATAAAACGACGCCGTCTCAGTTACTATTGGGCTTCACAGTGATCAAAGCCACTAACCAGAATGATTAAAGAGTTCATTTAACAACTGAGCGTTAATACAATTAGGCCCATTACGGCCCAATTTACATTTTAATCTCTTTCACTGACGACCACTCTCCCTCTCTCGCATATCCCTGAAGAATCCAAAATCCTCACCAATGGCGACTTCACTAGCTCGATTCTCTCGTAGAGGAGTAGCCTCCAACCTGATCCGTCGCTTCTTCGCTGCTGAAGCGGCACTCTCGAAGCATACAGAAGCACCAAAGCCAAAACTAACGGTCTCACCGTCTCCGGATCGTGCGAAATGGGACTACAGAGGACAGAGACAGATCATTCCTTTAGGACAGTGGCTTCCTAAAGTAGCCGTTGATGCCTACGTGGCACCAAACGTTGTATTAGCCGGTCAGGTCACTGTCTGGGACGGTTCCTCCGTCTGGAACGGCGCCGTTTTGCGGGGTGATCTTAACAAGATCACTCTCGGGTTCTGCTCGAATGTTCAGGAGCGGTGTGTTGTTCATGCCGCGTGGTCTTCCCCGACAGGTTATTATCCGTTTTTCGGACAACTGTGTTCTGATTTATGTAATAATGTCTTGTCTTGTCTTGTTACTGGTAATGGAATCAAGATAATGTTATATAGGATGGAACTTAGTTGTGTAGCTTCTTCGTGGCTGTGTATGTGATTAGAATCTTATTGAGGATATGTGTCTGAGCTTAGTATCGAGAGTTGAGTAGAATAGCACACACGGTGGATCATCTTAGGAAACAGTGAATTGTATATTCAATGTAGCAAGAGTATGCATTCAATCATGTTTCAGTCCCTGTTGATAAAACCAATGTTCAAAAAACCAAAAAATGAAATTAACTGCTTAAAAAATATTTAGAAGTTGCTTATGATCTAGATCCAGTGGCCTAGAGTGATTTAAAAAAAAAAAAATTCAAAAATTGTTTTGCATATGATCAATTTGTTGCTTAGCCGACACGTAGATCCAATTTTTAGAACACTAGATAAAACTATATTGGCATAACCAAAATATCTGAAATCCAAGATCCGAACCTGAACCAAAGGAATGAAATTCGAGATGTAAAAATACCCGAATAAATACTATAGGGTAGTATAAACAATCCGAGATGTAAAAATACCCGAATAAATACTATAGGGTAGTATAAACAATCCGAGATGTAAAAATACCCGAATAAATATTATAGGGTAGTATAAACATATATGAATCCGAAATGTTATTAACTAAACTTGGCGGGTAGCCAAAAAAATCCGAAAATCTAACGGAAAACAAGAAACTAAGTATTTGAAACATGAATAAGTACCTCATATGTTTAACTACAGGTCTAGTTTCCGAGGTTGGTGTATTACAGTTGTTCACTTAAGCCTTTACTCTCAGTATCTGGCTTTTGATATGATGATTCAAACTTTGATTCTAGTGTTACCGTTTATTTTGTGTTTATTACAGGATTACCAGCAGAGACATTGATCGATCGGTACGTGACAGTGGGTGCATACAGTCTTCTGAGATCATGTACCATCGAACCAGAGTGCATCATCGGTCAACACTCAATACTAATGGAAGGTTCTCTAGTGGAGACCCGCTCAATTCTTGAAGCTGGTTCGGTTGTGCCACCAGGAAGAAGGATCCCATCAGGTGAGCTATGGGGAGGCAATCCAGCAAGGTTCATAAGAACGCTAACCAACGAAGAAACCTTAGAGATCCCGAAACTCGCTGTAGCTATTAACCATTTAAGTGGAGATTACTTCTCTGAATTCTTGCCTTACTCTACTGTCTACTTAGAGGTAGAGAAGTTCAAGAAGTCCCTTGGAATCACTGTTTAGAGCTTTGTATTTTTTGGATCTTCAAAGCTACTCTCATGGGATTTCTTGTGCTTGCCTATTGTAAGAGGTTCTCTCTGCATATTGGAATAAGTAGCTGAAGAGCATCAAACCATTTAAATGTTTGTCTTCTCGTGTTTTTTTGGTTTCTTTGTTAAATTTAAAACTGATTTTGGCTGGATAAAAAAATGCCTGGATGATAAAAGTATAAAATTAATTCAAAATAAAATAAACAAAAAATTAAGCATCAAAGTGGAAGAAGCAAGCATAGAAGAAAGCAAATCCATAGTGAAGTGAACACTCATTTAGCATAGAATTCTATGGAAGTTTTCTATTCATATTCCAAGACTCCAAGTCTTATGAATGCCAAATCCTATAATAATTTTTGTTTTGTTTTCATACTCACTAACATTTGGGCCAATTTAGTAATGTTTTAGACTGATTCGTGTAACCTTTGAAATGTTGAGTTGTGAGTGATATATGTATCTATTATTGTTTTGATAAAACTTGGATTATACCGGATGTTATTTTGGTTTACTCTAAGATCCTACATTCCGGTCCTTCTATCAGTTTTCTATTGTCTTTACCGGTCTTAAATCATTAATTTGCAATGGAAACTTATTCAGACATCATTGACAAAAACAAAAGAAGAAACCCACAAAAATTGCGATAGGAAATCTTATCTTTTAATATGTCACGATGTACTCGTTTCTGGATGCAGACACAAAGTGTCTTTGGTTTTGTTCATTATATCTTTAAGTCTATTTTTCTTTTCCTGAAAAGACGAAGAATCTTTTTCCAATCTCAACATTTGTTTCATTATTGTGATACTGAAATTATTTTAGGGTTGTATTGATTCTTTTTATTTCTAAAAAGCGATATGAAAAGGAGACCAGCCTCGTTGCTGTGCATGTTGGATGGTAGCTAGTCTTTCATTGGTGTGCATGTTAGGTGGTAGTCTTTCATTGTAATTATCTAACTTCATAACCGATGACCTGTGTTATGCTGTAAACAACTTAAGTGTATGAATATTTATTGAGAATTTAGGTCGTATACACACAAGATGATATCGCCGCCAAATTCTCAATAGAAAGCTCTTCCGATTAAAATCGCCGCCATTTATATTCTCTTTCTGGTGGTTTTTGACCCGACAAAATCGGCGGAGAAGCAAGTCGGAAAAAGATGATCAGTGTCAATTGAGCTAAGGACGATCCACAAAACTTCTTATTTAAGGGACGTTTTCAGTTAATTACAGCCTTTTTACTTTATTTTTCGTTCTATTAATGTTAAGGACGCGGCTAAGCGACGGCGATAATGTTGGTCTTAGTTCTATAATGTTTCTAGTGTTCAACGTTTGTTAGTGGTGGTTGATATCCGTTTCCTGTAGCTTGAATATCATCATTAAAATCACCATGTGGTTATATAGTTGGTTACTTGTTAATATAGTGAAACCACATTTTACTGTTAACCCTCTTATTTTTTCTAACACATGTCTACAAGGTCTACGTGACTATCTATAGTGAACGAAAATCCATGTAAAGTTAGGTGCCAGCAGATTAATTCTTACCAGTTACCACAGTACACTTACTTTGGGTAATAATTATGTTAAGTTAGACTGATATTAACGACAACAACTAACGCCGTTAAGTTCGATGTGGGGACAACGCAAGAATGATGTGGGGAAGAAAAAAACAAACGCCAACAAAAACGGTCGTTACGTCATTATTATTTCTGACGTGTCTTCGTCAGCTCTTGGATTTTATTTTCATTGCTCGAAGCATTTATTTCTTACCAGATTCATCATTTGGCGACAATATCTCAAATTGTATCAGAACTACTATATTTCATCAAACCGGTTATTAAATATATAATCATACCGGTCCTACTCATACCAATGTGGGGTTTTGATAAATTTTCTCGTGACTTTTGTCTGTATTTTATACCTTTAAGATTCATTGTTACAATTTTAAAATCTATACATTTAACGTACAATACATTTAGCACTAACATCAACCTCTTTTACTAGTTTATAAAATTCCGTAATTGTTTCAGCAGTTTTTTTTTTGTTATATACAGTAAAACCTCTATAAATTAATACTCGATAAATTAATATACACTAAATATCTCTATAAAATAATATAATTTTATAATTTTAAATTGAGTTTTTGATTCGATTAGTATATTGATAAATTAATATCTTTCTAAATTAATAAAAAAATAAAATTTTGGTGTAGTCCCAACATTATTAATTTATAGAGGTTTCACTACACTTCAATTTCACGTGATATTTATGCATACATGATTATATAGGAAAAGAATTTAAAAACGTATGAAAGACTTTCATACATAATCTTTTGAAGTCTGGTAAAAGAGAAGGAATCCAAGTCGGCAAAGTCCATGTGTAAGCCAATACAAAAGTTTATCCTTAAGTGCGATCCAAAGTTTCTGCACCACACGTGTGAAGGCTTACTTGGCGCCACGTCAGTGTTGAATGCATGGGAGATTGAGGTAATAGTAATACTATTCTCTCTCGATTACTTCTCGAAGTAGATCACTCGAGGTACTAAGGTGTACAGCTAACTAATTAGCCACGCTGAACCTTAGATCGTGGATGTAATTATAATGTTGATGAACACATTTTTCAGTGGGTTTGATTAATAAAAAGTCGAACAGGTTGAATAAAACTGCGGACAGTGAGTACGCTGCTTTGTAATAATTCTTATAGTATAGTTAAAGACGTGGCTACAAAGAAAACACATTTCATCATTTTTTCACTTAATTTGACTATAAGATAAACCTTTTTTTGAAACACAGTCTGACTATAGATTAACCAATTAACAATCTTCACCCACGTTTATGTAACACAAGTTCACTTAATAAATGCTCACTTTAAGTTACTCTACCAAAAAAACTAACTCATGTGTCACGGACTCACGGTGGTTAGTTTATAGACTTATTCAGCTTGTAATGAACGCTCAAATCGAGTATTTTCATTATGATTTTAGACATATAGCTAGCCATCGTGCACGTTGAAATAACAAACTATTCATTCTTTAGTCATAAGCTGTGATGATTCATTTTGGAGTATTTAAAATAATACGCCAATATATATTATAGATATATATTGTATGTGCTATATGAATAAAGGTAAATGTGTCATTGTGTAACCATTGTTCTCCTTTTGTAGATTGGTTTTAGAACCAGAAGCTTATTTGCCTTGGCACTTACGTTTGGCAACAACAGCCATAGGTATTTGATGTGGTTGTCATGAATAACGTGTTTGTTCACTTCACCATGAACATCTAATGTTTTTTTTTAACTGAATGAACATTTCATGTTAACAACATGAATTTTATTCCATTAGTAAATGAGACACTTAAATGAACTCTTGTTACATAAAAGTAAGCGACGATTGTTAATATTTCAAAGAGTAAGAAAACTTAATTTCCCATTAAAAAAAAGCAGTAAAGAGTGCTCTGGAAATCGAAAGAGGACCACAGTTATATTCTTTTCAACGGGTAGATGTTTGTGCATGTATATATATATATACAGATAAAGAAAATATTTGCCCAGGTAAAATCATTTTAAAATTAATTCGATTTCCGCAACGGTAAAGTTCAGTTCGAATAGATTTCTAAAATGTGCAACCATATTAAAAAAAAGCCAAAAAGTACAATCGTATATTTTAAAATAAATTAAATCGTTTTAAAAACGATGGATCATACTGTATTTAAAAGTTTTAAGTATAAAAAACTAATATATACATGAGTGGCAAACCATTAACTGTCAATCTCGAGAACTAGAATTGCGTTTTGAAAGTTTAACCTATATAGGGAAACACATATTGCGTGAGGATTAGGTATGTTTTGACTGATAAACAATTGAATGAAATTTTAAATTAGTTACTAAAATAAATCAATTAAACTAAACTCACGTATAAGTTATGTTTAAAAGGAAAAAAAAAAATTCACAATCTATTCAAATCTTGAGGTCCACAGTTTCACCTTCGTACTACAACACCCAAGTGGTTCTTTACAGAGAGAGAGAGATTTATAAGCTTCTCCCTGGGCGTTACATTTTTTTTTTGTGAACATAGAAACACTCAAAACTTAACCAAAAGAAACAAAAAATGGGGGAGGTTCAAGAACATCATCTCAAACTTTCATATCACCTTTTCTCAGTGAATAATAATAATTTTATTCTAATTAACTTTTTTTTTCTTGGGTTCTAGGAGGAGAAGAAACCAGAAGCAGCAGAGGAGAAGAAAATGGAGGAGAAGAAGCCTGAAGAGGAGAAAAAAGAAGAAGGAAAGAAAGTGGAGGCTGATGAGAAAAAAGGAGAAGATTCTGAGAAGAAAACTCAAGAAGGAGAATCTAAAGATTCCAAAGAAGATTCGCCTCCGGCGGAGCCTGAGGCTCCAGCACCGCCTCCTCCGCCACAAGAGGTTATCCTTAAAGTTTACATGCACTGTGAAGGCTGTGCTAGAAAAGTTCGCCGTTGTCTCAAAGGCTTCGAAGGTATAAATAAAACACACATACGTAATATTCTTGCATCTAAACTACTTTTAGTATATACATTTTAGTTTTTCATATAATTTTTTCTTTTTGCTAAAACAGAATATTTTTATAAACTCCAGATGTTTATTTCACCAACTTCAGTTTTTTTTGCTAAGTTTATGTATAGGTACTAGTTAATATTTGTTACATATTTGTGTGTAGGACCACATAAAGTCTTGGTTATGCTTTAAGAGATTTTAAACAAAATATGAAACAATTTAAGCAGCTAGAAAATTCTGTTTTTGGGAAAGATAATGATGTATAACTATATAAAAATTATAAATTAAATCTTGGGGTTTGGTTTTAACTTATGTAGGAGTGGAAGATGTGATGACTGATTGTAAAACGGGAAAAGTGGTGGTGAAGGGAGAGAAAGCTGATCCATTAAAAGTATTAGCCAGAGTTCAAAGGAAGACCCACCGTCAAGTTGTGCTTGTTTCTCCCATT